ATCTCTTACCTCTTTTAGCAAAACACTACTAATTAATTGGATCATGATTGTACTGACAACACCGCGATATGTTTATGATCCCCTTTTGGTGTACAGTGGGCTCCATGTCATGCTGTTGTCGCGACACCGTTGCTTGTAGCATTCGAATTGCTACTCTGTATATACCTCGAGAGTTCTTACGGTAAAAAAACTGTAATCTACTGAAATTTTTACTTCAGGGTTTGTTTGGTTGATTGTATTTACAGCTTCTTCTAGTCATCTAGATTCTTGGCAATGGGAACAAGTTGATATAGGTTGATAGATGGCCAAAACGATGGCTATGATTCTCAAAGTTTCTTCTTGATACTGTTTGAATATGGATGGTTAAGATTGTAGTTTTTTTGTGCTATGACTGTTTCCATTTCATCGGAATGTGACCTATCTTAAATGCAGCTCGATGGCCACCAGCTGTGAGTTTGAAGATTGCATTCCTACCATTATTAGCGTTTGAAGTAACGATACTCATAGACAATTTGAGGTATTGAAACATTACATGTTTTACTGCTATCTTCTCAAACAAAGACATTCGCTCTATGCGTCTGGTGAACATATACCGAGCTGAATCATATAACTATAAACTTCCTTACTACTGCAAGCTTTATCTTCAGAATGTGTCGAGCATTGATGCCAGGAGACGATGACAGCATCAATGATGAAGCAATATGGGAGGCACTTCCTGTAAGTCCGCAAGTGTTACATAAACTATTTTAAGGCTTGATAGTACTGTTCAGCTAGATTGATCTTTGATTTTGCAGTTTGTTTTAAGTATTTAGGCATGATCTATCTGTCAAACATAAATGAAAAACGATCTCTAATTTTCAAATAACACAACTTAGGACTGAGATTCTCAATTCTTGCACTGAGAGAGGAGAACCTTTTGATCAATTTCTGTAATTTTCCAGTTTCCACAACCACAGGCTTGGGATATTGTTTAATCTTTTGTTGATGGGCAGGGGAAGCTGCTCAGTACTCAAAATAAACATTTAGCTGCTTTTTCCTTGTTCCCTGCAGCACTTCTGGGTTGCGATTTCTATGGTATTCACGTTGGCTGCGACATTCTTTACCCTCCTAAAGCTTTCTGGTAATATTTTAGTTTTCAAATGCTTGCCTAAATAGCTGTCTTACTGCATCTCTTTGCCTACTGCAATCCTATCATCCACATATCATCTTGTTGATGGGGTTATTGTGTTTCATTCCTTCTTATTGGTCCTTTTATTTTAAATACGCAGGCGATGTAACAGCTCTTGGCTGGTGGGATTTGTTCATAAA